GTCTCTTTACTCTGTTGTTTCCTTTGTTATACAAACCATTTTAGATTGGTGTAATCTTACTGGTCTATTTGTGTGTTTTTTTACCTATGTTTTTGGGTTAATATCCAAAAGCCTCTATATATGTCTATATTTTAAATATTCTTTAATATAATATATTTACTAAGTTTTGGTTTCAATCCTTGTTTTAGCTAGCTACATTTTCTCTGTTTTATAGACAGAGATGTTTATCTATAAATGATATTATAAAATTCAGATAGTGAACACATAAGCAGAAACACAAAGCTGTTCTTTAGAAAAAAATACTAAAAATAAGAAAATATCTGAGAATAACTTCTTGTATTTTATGCTAACTTGACACTGAATTTTGTTTATGATGTTTCTGTTTTGGTCAACATTGAAATAAAATACAAAGAATAATAACATGTTAGTACTAATTGTCAAATAGAAAAAATAAATATTAAATTTTGAAACAGGATTTTAGGTCTATTGAAGAAATGTAAAGATGATTGGCTGCTTTAGAACAACCTTCCAAACTAATGAACCCAATCCTCTAATCTTTCAGAAGAGGAACCTAAGATCCTAAACTCTTCAATCTTTTATGAAAAATCAGTGATGGAATAAAAACTTGGATCTTCAGTTAAGTAATATTTGAAATAATATGAATGAAACCAATTCAATCATTTGTTTTTATGTTTACTTCATCAATATTCATTCACCATATTCCTTCTCTATATAAATTACTCTATTAGGGTACTAGAAGCAAAGAGGTGAGGAAATTGCAATGTTCCCATAAACTTGTAACATATTTTCCTCATGCAGATTTTGGCAGTTTATTAAAAACAAATGAGTTCAATGAATAATAATGAGCTACATGATTCAAATTACTATCAAAGATGCCCAGTCACATATTTGACTTGTCAGTATTATATAGGTTTTTATAAGTAAATATTATAATATTACATTAAATATTATAAAAGTAAAAAAGTACGTTAATTCATGATCAAATCTGATGAATGATACTTCATGCTTGTATCATTTAGGTACTAATTGTAATGACCCAAAAGAAAACCCAGATGCATTCCATTTACCAAATTTTAAGTATGAGAAAAATGATGAATGTCTATAATGATGTTCTATTTCTGCCCAAATAAATTTGGAAGCTATGAATGTAGCTTCTTCTATGACAGTATATTGTATGTTTGGGCAAAATATTTCAAAGATTAATAGGTTGTCAGGGAAAGCTCACACTGATAAGAATCATCTGTAAAATTATATATCCCTATGTTTAAAATCATTTCATACAAAAATATGAAGAACTGCAGAGGGTGCATATAATATTTTAAATGAATATGGAAAGTGTCAATATTTCATTTAAATCGTTCATGAAGAATGACGGTGGGAAGTTAAAATAGAACTCTCCACTCAAGTAATATTTTAAAGATTGTAAGCCAAGAGTAGCAATTTGAAATCACCAACTGACAATCTGGCAAGAGGAATCAAAGGAGATCTTACAAAAAGTATGACAACCTTGTAGATAGTTTAAATGAAAACCTATCAACATGTAGAAATGAAGGGAAGAGAATGACTTTTCTTGACTCTAATGGAGAGAGCCTGCTAGTGAATTTTGGAAGTTAAAAATGTTGAAATAAGCAGAAAACTGTGTAAAAGTGTTACAGGACCTTGACCCAGATTCCAGGAACTTGAGAGATATGTCCAGACATTCAAATATCTATTAAGAATATGAAATATAGGAATAATACTAACTTCATTCACTCCAACTTTATAGCAGGAGAAACAAGGTTTCTAAATATTGTTTGACTCATCCTTATAATCACTTTCTGTGAGTAAGTAATCTATGGATTTGGAGGCAGTGACAATAAAAGCATAATAGGTATTGAACTAGTTCAACATTCTCTATATTCATGAGTTATAAAAAAACAAATGAGATACCCCATAGTCAAAAAGACAATCTTCTAACTTAATTATCTTCCACAACATTCTCATAGATATATTTTATTCTCTTCAATTTGTCTATAAAGTGATTACTGCACAGTGTTTATCTAGAACCAGTTATAAAACAATATAGAACATTTTTAAAAATGATACACATTCAAATTTGTACTTTTACTGAAACTGTATGCTAAGAAAACATTTTTATCTTATGTATACATAGGAGTCTCAATAATTAATTAAATTCATATTTAAAATAATATTAACACATTGTTTTATGGGCTGTATGAAAAACGAAATCCATATTTTTGTACCAATAGCTAGAGCTTATTTCCAAAATGCAGTGGGTTGTATACACATATGTATCCATATGTTTTACAAAGACAAACATGAAATGATTTATCAATTGATAGAGAGTCATATACATGAAGAGAGGAATACATTCAAGTTGTCACATATCTTTTTCACGGAATTATAGACTATAGCCACACAACAAATGAAGGGGGAAATGTTTTAGAATTGAAGAGATAGTCTGACAATTGAAGAAATAAGTTAGTACATGTGTTGAAAGATTCTACAGTACACCAAACAAGTTATGTGATGAAAAAACTATGATTTTTAGTTCAGGTTATCAAACAGCGTCTTACAATATACTATGATAACCCCACTAACTAAAAATACACCTTTTAAAATTATATAGAACTTTCAATAGACTGATTGGATTTTCTGTGGATGTAGAAAAATGTAAAGTGTTTCACTTATAGCACCAACAATGATAACAACAACAAAGAGCAACACAAAAATCAAATTCACAAATTCATAGCTTTGAAGCTACCAACAAGCTCAAGGCCTGAGGGTGTAGCTTTATGGATTTTGCCAAGCGTGAGTGAGCATTTGCCCACCATTTCTGAGACTCTGGGTTTGATCCCTAGTACCTCAAAAACAAAAAGTAAATAAAAAAGAAACAATTTTTTTAAAAAGCTGAAGTATCACGACAACCAATTAGTCATCAATGTATGGAGAGGTAGATGACATGACAGTAACGTTTGCTCACCTATTATAGATAAAGCCAAGGACAGGTAGCAAGAACTCAGGAATCTGATAGAGATCGATAGGTCTTCTCTTTGTGTTGCACTTCTACTGGAATGTCTGTGGAGACAGCAGAGCACTCACACAGGTTCCTACTCCATGATCTCTTACTATCTTACTAGGAAACAATAGGATAATCTTCTAGGAAAATTATAGGAGTCATTTTTCTTAGTAGGTGGGTGGAAGAGGAACTCTTCTATAAGCAGAATGTTGTATATATTTACTGAATCTTTCTATTTTATGTCAATTTTCGGGTTGTTATATGTAATTGTGTATAATAAAGGCAAATTAAGATTTATTCTCTTCATGTGCCCTTTCCACTTAACCTTCCCTCCATAGTTATGTTTACATTCAATGTGCTTCTCTCTTTTTTTTCTTACATTTTCTTTTCTTTCTCTTTCTCTTCCTCCTTTTCTTCTCCTTCTCCTTTTTCATCTTTTCTTGTCATGTATGTTTATGTAGTCCGCAATTGTTCAGTTCTTGTTATACACTGCACCTAAAATGGTAATATCCCAAAGAGAAATGGGAAATAAGTGAACATTGTTGAAGAGGATTGGGAGAACCAGGTTATTTTTCTATGAAGAAAGAATCCAGTGCCTATCTAGATGCCTTTTTTATCTCTAGAAAGCACTACCATTATGATATTAACAAAAAAAAAAAAACTCTTGTTTTTCTATTAAAACATTCCCATATTTTTTTATAGACTACATAGTAGAATGAAATGGATTCTAATGCACTATGTTTTGTGTTTCATATTTTTTTCTCAATTTAAAAATATATCTCTGAACAGCACTGACATGATCCTCCAATGAGTTATCTTTTAAGTGTATTCCTCTTACATTTTGTATCTAATTGTTTTCATGAAATAATTCCAGATTCATCTTTTCTACCCCTCCTCACTTACAAACAGCTCTCATTCACATATCTTGGACTGTTAACAATACATGAAATATAGGACATGTGTTTTGCATCTGATTTATGAAAATAAATTCAATAAGCAACAAAGACAATTAAGTTGGCATTTGGTTTATGAACTATCAAACCTCAGTTTTCCCATGTCATCAGAAACTTGATCTTTTGAGTATATTTTGGTAGCTTGTGACTTACAAACCTGTTGAGCCTTCCATTCTGACTATTTTTAAGTTATGAAATGATTTTTCAGTCAAGGCATGATCCCCAGGTTTGGTCCACAATTGCTCTTTGGCCCTACTTGATGATGCCTACTTCAAATAATTGCTCCCTCCAATATTTCTTGTAAAACAAAAATTACATTGTGTGTGCGGAGATAAAATAAATTCCTTTAACTGACAGCTAACATCTCTTCCTTCCCTGAGTTTTAGGGGTTTCTACTCTGTCTGACTTCCTGTTGTCAGAGTGTCTTCTCAGAGTGGACCTTTGAAGTGTGAACAGAGACAGCCTCCCTCCCTGAAGGCATTCCAAAACACATGGCTGTAGGGTTTCTCTTCACTCAAGCATTACAAATTAAAGCACACTTTTTGATTTTGTCAAATCCCCTTATACTCATTATCACATTGTCACAGTGTTGGATAAACTGATTTTCTTAAATTACAAACTTTGATCATCTTAACAACATGAGTATTATTAGAAATTCAGAAAAAAAAATGTTATAATTTTTACCATATTCTATTTCTATAGTATATGGTCAATCACTTTTTCTGTTCTAGTTTTTCTTGGTGTATATTTAATATTGCATTGGTAGAATATATAAAAGGATAATGATTTCATTTACAAAGCTCCTAGGGCCAAATATATTTAAAAATACAGAAAATTTCAGATTTGGGAAGCATAAAAAGTATGTATTATTTTATTATATATTTTTTCAGAGAGATTTGGAATAGCACATATTCAACTGTTGTTATAGTTTAGAGGGAAGTCGTTCCTCAAAAACTCATGTATAAGGGTTCCAGAGGCTTGGGCTGTGTGGTGAGCTGCTTAGAGTGATGCCACCCAGAAGAAATGGGAAAAACAAACTTCCTGTTCCACTTCCAGAAGGCAAAGTTCTGGATGATGTGGAAGGAAAACAATGGGTGCTGGGCAAGATCATTGGCTCTGGAGGATTTGGATTGATATATCTAGCTTTCCCCACAAACAAACCAGACAGAGATGCAAAACATGTTATAAAAGTGGAATATCAAGAAAATGGTGCATTATTTTCAGAACTTAAATTTTATCAGAGAGCTGCAAAAAAAAAAAAAAAAAAGACTGTATCAAAAATTGGATAGAATTCAAACAACTTGATTATTTAGGAATTCCTTTGTTTTATGGAACTGGTCTGACTGAATTCCAGGGGAGAAGTTACAGATTTATGGTAATGGAAAGACTAGGAATAGATTTACAGAAGATCTCAGACCAGAATGGTTCTTTTAAAAAGTCAACTGTCCTGCACCTGGGTATCAGAATGCTAGATGTACTGGAATATATACATGAAAATTAATATGTTCATGGTGATATAAAAGCAGCTAATCTACTTTTGGGTTATAAAAATCCAGATCAGGTTTATCTTACAGATTATGGACTTTCCTACAGATACTGTCCCAATGGGAACTACAAACAGTATCAGGAAAATCCTAGAAAAGGTCATAATGGGACAATAGAGTTTACCAGCTTGGATGTCCACAAGGGAGTAGCCCTGTTCAGAAGAATTGACGTTGAAATCCTTGGCAACTGCATGCTGCGGTGGTCATGTGGGAAACTTCCCTGGGAACAGAATCTGAAGGACCCTGTGGCTGTCCAGACTGCTAAAACAAATCTGTTGGAATAGCTGCCTGGGTCAGTGCTGAAGTGGGCTCCATCTGGAAGCAGTTGCTGTAAAATAGCTGAATTTTTAGCATGTGTTTATAGTTTAGCTTACAATGAAAAGCCAGACTATCAAAAGCTCAAGAAAATCCTGAACCCTGGTGGAATACCCTTAGGACCACTGGAGTTTTCCACTGAAGGCCAGAGGGCACGTGTGTATTCTCTACCCAATAAAAATGTTGATTCGCAAAAGGCTGTGACAAAGCAACTTAGTCAGATGCAAGAAAAGTCAGCAGAAAGAGTTCACAATGAGAGAAGTGCTGAGTCCTTGGCCACATGGAGAAGAGTGCAAAAGGAGGACAAGTTGATGGGATCCATGAACAGTGAAGCAGCTCAGGTCCAAGGTTGTATGGCTTTGTTAAATGAGAAGGGGCAGAAGATATCCTATCCCGCTGATAAAAAATAAAGGCAGCAGACACTAGTTATTGAAGAAAAGTAACAGTGAGCACATTTGTGTACTGATCTGGTTTCTTCCTTTACCCTAAGAATGTAATGAAGTGCACTTAAGTTTCTCATGCCATCTATGATGCAAGAGGGACTCTTAGCATGCATACTCCATACTTTTACATTGGTTCTTCAAGTCTAACCCTTACAATTAAACATAAGTGAAGTGTTTCCCTATCAGTAGGTTGTATTTTAAAGTGATGATTTTTTACATGATTCGATCATTTATTTGGCTGGATAGTGACATACAAAACTTTTGCAGAAGGCTCATTTAAGCAACAGTGAAAATCCTTCCTAATCCAACCATTTTTGTTAAAAGAAGCATACGATATGTTTATATCTAGACTGAAAAAAATATTTAGTTTTGTCAAACTGGCCAGCATTTTATGTGTTTTATATGTCACTATTTTCCCCAAATGATTTAAAGTGGTTCACAATATGAACAGGATACTATAATACCACCTTTTACACCCTCTGTCCCAGAAAAAAAAATTAATATATCAGGGAGCTGAGGCGCTAATCACTAAACTGAGCACTGAACTTGGCTCTGAACTTCCTGGCAGCTAAGGCAAAAATTAGAAGCCTAGTAGTCATGTATTCCTCAGCCAGCCAGCATGCAAAGTATATTCAGAGAGAAGCACTTCTTTTAGTGCTGGGAGAAATCTTTAACTTTATTCTCATGAAAATAGTAGCATCCTTTGTTGTTTTGAGATTATGTAAATGGAATCCACTTCAAATAAGTATTTTATAGTTCCAATTTATAAAATTAAAGACATCTACTGCTTGGCGACAAAATTGAGAAATGCTAACTCTTCAGTGAGAATATTTCTCAAATCTTCCTGTTCACCAGTGTCACTTGGTATCTGGGCAGGGAGGAGCTATAATATTAATATCTGGATTCAAGCAGAGAAACGGATTCATTTTGGCTAAACTGACAGTGAGATTTTAAGATTTTTAGTGTAGATTTTATGACTCCAGAAAGTCCTTTGCTCCTTTTCCTTGTCAGTCCCATCCCTCAGAAGCAAGCCCTATTCTGACATTCTGATTCTCATCTCTAGATCAGTTTTGCCTCTTCTGGGATTTCATATGCATGCGTTCCTACAGTGAGCAGTGTTTTGTACTCATCATCTTTCAGCATGTGTTTGAGATTTGCCTGTATTCACGCATGGCTCTATAAATTGTTATTTTTCATTGCTAAGTAGTCCTCTATTGAATCATCATTTTACATGTCCATTTTCCTATTAATGGACACTTGGGCTGCTCCTGATTTGGGCCACCATGATTATATAGTTGTCATTCCACTCCCTCCCAAACGTTTGGTGTTGTCAATCTAGCCTTAGATTTTAGCCATTCCAATATGTATGTACATATGATTGTACATACAATATGTACATTGTGATTACAGTTGTCATTTATCTGATGACTAATATTTTTGAGCATTTTTTCCCCCTGTGGCCATTTCTTACCTACTTTGGAGAAATGTCTTTCCAAGTGTTTTCACTTATTTTTATCTGGATGTTTGTCTTTTAATTATAAAGCTTTAAAAGAAAAAAAAAAACACTCATGTATAAGATAATGTAAGAAGATTCACAGGTGAAATGTTTGGAGCATGACAGCTTTAATCTAATCAGTGAATTAATTCCCTGACAGGGATTGACTGAGTAGTAACTGTAGGCAGATAGGGTATGGCTAGAGGACATGGGTCCCTGGGAATATGCCTTTGGGTTTTGTATTTTATCCTTGCTGAGCAGAGATCTCCTTCTGTTTCCTGATCATCAAGTGCTGGGTCCTTTCCTCTACCACATACTTGAATCATGATGTTCTCACTCATATCAGTCCCCAAGGAAGGGAGTTGACACCTATGGACAGAGACCTCTGAAACCATGAGCCCTCAAATAAACTTTTCCTCTAACAGAATTTTTCTTGTCAGTCTTTGGTCACAGCAGTGAAAAAGTTGGCTAAAAAATGTTATTAATATTTCTCAATCACCATCTTAAGAGTACTTAATAACATAAAGACTACAAGGGAATATAGCAGGTTGGGCGGGGTCTTTTTCATTAGAAAAACTTTAGAGAGAGCTAAGTTTTGTGAGATTTCTTGGGTTTCTGAATTTTGAATAAAATATTTTATATTAAACTGCACTTTATATTTTGCCAGACATTATTATTATTGTTAATTGAGTTTATTTGTAAACATTTTTCTTGAAATCAAAGCTACACACTTAAATACAGGCCTAAACTAAAACCAGAATAAAACACTGATTTTTGATTCAAAAATGTTCATAATTCCTTTTCTCTTAAAACATTTTCCTGTTCTCTGGTAAAATTAATTAAAGTATACTTAAGGTGACACAGTGAGTAATTCTCACATATTTGAAATCTATTTATATAAAAATTATCTTAATCTTTTCTCTAAAATTCTAATGCTTCTAGTGATCCATTCTACCATTCAAACTTTAAATTAACACATATTAGTATAGCACATTGTAGTGGTTGATAATCTAACTTAGAGAATGAGTGAATTGATGCATCATTAAGTATTCTAGATAAATATTTAAGAATTTCCATACAAATAAGGTGTCTCAGGATATTTAATTAACATTTCTTATATCACATATGTAGAAAGTAGCAGAGGTGAACAACAACAAACTAAGCATCCAGAATTATGATATAATCTTTCTTCCAATTAAATATGGGAAGCTTTCAGTTAAATTTATGATACTTCTACCTATTGCACAGATGGTGCTAACAAAGAACATTATACTTAACCAAATAGTGTAAAAATTATGTAATAGAAATTTCATATTTTGTTTTTAAATAGCTATGGATAAATGATGTATTCACTGAAAGATTGAGCAACAATTACTGTCAATATCACTATACTTAGATTTCATATCAATACCTGAACTTTAATTTTCCAATGAAATAAACATTTTGTATAACAGTAATAAAAAATTATGTCAATGCTGTTAATACTTAAAGTTCATTTTAATATTTTTCCTTCAGTTTTAATTGTAAATAACATTTCCATGCTTAAAATCAACTTATATTTTATAAATATAAAAGTAAAATAATGGCATTGACATTGTAGTTTAACAAATTTTAGATTATGGGATATTAAAATAATTTAAAGTATTACTTAAATATTATCTTAATCACTTCAGTAATATTCTCCAAATATAGATCTCACTTCATGAAAAGATTCTAAACTTACAAGTTTGAGTAGATGACAAAAAATGAATAAAGCAAATTTAAGATTTGCATGTATTTTTTTAAAAGAAAGAGATATAACTTTGATCAATTGCAAAGCAGTTATTTTAAAATGCTATCCAGAGACTTTTTATAATTTTTTAAAGCAATGCTCTTTTATTTTGCTCAATGAGGATAATGCAAATTAAGGAAAGTTGTTTTCCTTCCTTGATCCAAAAATATTAACATGTCAGTTAATATCATATGATTTCCATTTCAAAGTTATCTAAGGATAAATACATACAAACATACACACTTATACTTCAAAAGATAAAAGCAACCAAATTCATTTCAAATCAAATTGATGTAATATCAAGTTGTCCTTCCACTATAAATATATGGGAACTAAAACATAAAGTAAAACTAGAAATGTTTCATCTTAGATTACTCCTACATTGAATATTTTTATCTTTCATTTAAAATAAGCTAATGTGCATTGCATGTTTTAAATGTGAATATAATTATAACCACATATATCAATATATATTTGAAAAGAAGATTGTAAATAACAAAATCAGAGCATGCAGATGGAGAACCACTTTGTATAAAATGATAATAGATTTGACATCCAAAAAATAATGTTTAAATAATAAATAAGTATGTATGTTGGAATTAAAAAGTACAAAGTATATTTTGCCATTTATGTTCAAGGAGTACTAATTGAAATCATATTAATGGAAGACATTCATGAAGGATAAACTATGTAGTGATTAAAAAAAGTCTCTAAAAAATCTTAAAAATACTAAAATTTTGTCTGGCAATGAATGGATGGTAATTAGCAAGAAGTATTTAGCATGATTCAACATTGATAAGTATAAAGTCAAGTTAAGGAGAAAATATTTCTATAGAGGACACACAAGACCATTGTTAAATTGAAATAAAGTTTTCAGGATATTGATGGAAATTTGCAATATATATATGCCTTCTCTATCAAGAAAAGAGGAAAAAAATGAAGAATTCAAATGTCTTAATACTCTAAAGATGACAAAAATCTATGTTAAAGGTACATAATATGATTATTAACTGCATTATTGTTTGACAATAGGTACAGGAGTACATTCTTTTTCATTAAATTCATTTTAAAACTGATACATAAAAACATTAACATTTTTACATATTAATGAAGTACCAGGTGATGTTTCAATAAATATATACATTCTACATTGTATTATGTTTAAATAAGGTTAAACATATCTGTCTCCTCAAGCATTTCTCATTTGTTTAGGGTAAAAATATTCAAAACCATTTCTTATACTTTTGTTAAGATATGTGGTATATAATTGTTATCTATAGTCCCTCTACTGTGAATTTCTAGCTTCTATCCAACCAACTTACTACTCAGTGATCAACC